ATATTTGGGAATTTGAAAGAAAATCTTAAACTTTATTTTCTACTTAATATTTTCATTTTTTTCTACTGTATTACTACAGTGCAAGCTCTACGGTACTATGCATACAGTACCAGAGCTGTTAAAAGTGCACGAGCAACCATAAATTCAAACACAATGTTGGAATTTTACTTTGAAAATTTTCAATGTTCTGTAGTGCTAGTATTTATCTTATATATGCAAGAACAATCTCAAACAAAATGGTGATTGAAAGAATAACATATTTATTTGTCTACCCTATTGACCAAGAGAATTTTAGCAGAAGTCCTCTACACTGTGGTACTACAATAACTATAAATAAATGCAAAGTTGGCATATTTACATTTTTGTCGAACCTCTGAGTCATGTCGTAATCAAAATAATTGATAACTTTTTTTTTTAGCAAAGATTTTGTTAATTACAAAAAGTTTTCATATCTTGTCAAGATCTTGATCCAGATTTTTGCAGGCAAATTCCTCCAAAAAAACTTGACAAGATCTTGACAAGAATCGTTGAACATTCTTTGAGATCAAGAAACTTGACAGATCTTGTGCAGATATAAACTTTCTGTAGGACATGGGCATATCTCAAAAGCGACTTTTATCTTAACACCATTTCGTAGCTCCAAGATTTCTCGGTAACGAAATATTGCAGAGAGCTCCGAAAGGTCTTAAATTGAAGCTGACACATAGGGCTAGAGGCTGAAAGAGTCTGATTTTGATATTCAGTTTAGATTTGTGATTAGAAAAACATCATCATCAAAATTAATGGGACTTTTTCGAATTTTGGACTTTTGATGCTGATCATTAATTTGAAAAGAAAAATATCAAAAATCCGGCTCTGTTAGCCGCTGACCACATGCGTTTTCGTCAATTCAAGACCAGTCCGAGCTCTCGACAACGTTTCATTACTGAGAAATCTTGGAGCTACGAACAGTCCCATTTTGGTCGCTGTTGTGGCAGCATTTCACAAACCATGCGCGATGGATCCAAACAAAAGTTTCGTCACCATACTTTCACAAGATCAGTATCTCCTAAAGGTTTGGTCAAGATCGCACTTATAGTTTCAGAGATAGGTTTCTCACGGGCGGAGGGCTTACTCTTGTGTCCTCATTTAGGATAATCCTATAGAGTTTAGTTTGGTGAAACGTACTATTGATACACAACACGCCCTCTGACATTCAAGGATAACAATATAAACTCTCTTAGAGGCAAGCTGCGTGTTTTCGTATTTTACAATGTAGCAATTTGTTTTCTATGTGAGTCCAATAAAAACAAATAGATACTGTACGACTAGGTTTTCTGCGAGCACATTAATATCCATTCGGTTGTGCTTCTTGAAAGAGAAAAGAAACGAAAATTTTACCAAAAACCAGAAGGAAAAAAAGACAAAAGAAAGGTATTTCACTCAACTGTAACCGTGTGTATATATTTGTGTGAACGAGGATAACCAAGGTGAAAAATAGAGTTTGAATTGCGCTAACCTAGGTATATTTATTCACGTTTCTATAAATATTTCATAAATGTAAACTATACGTTTCCAAGCTTTAGATTAGTTGTAAAAGAATGACTTGGAAAAAATTTTTATGCAGCAAAATAAATGAACATCGTTTTCGATTTAATGGTCTAATAGAATCAACGAGATTACCACATAAACAATGCTTAAGACAGAAGTTTGATAATATTCTGAAATACAGTCCCAATGATTTACCATCAAAAGTTGATTTACGAGAAGAAATGACCGCCGTTGAAGACCAATCACAAATAGGAAGCTGGTTTGTAGCTAGCACTTAATCTCGTCTCTTCTATTACACATTTTTATTTTTCTCCTTCTAGCTCAGCTAACGCTCTAGCTGGTGCTAGCATATTCAAAAATGACGTAAAACTGAAACAAAGCACCGAAAAAGTAATTGTCAAGACTTCTTTCTCATTGCGAAATAAGAAAATCATTCATCATATGAATATTTGATCAAAAAACATACAGGAAGAAATGAAGATGTTAGTCGTTTATTTATTTATTATAATAGTAGAGCACAAGATGATCTCTCAGCAGCCGTAAGTGATACTGGTTGTAGTATGACACATGCTATTGAAGCATTAGATGAACATGGGGCATGTAGAGAATCTCAATGGCAGTATGATATTACTAAAGTTAATCAACGGCCACCACCACCTGCCTATACGGAAGCTAAAAATTTTACAATTGACGAAGCATTACAAGTTAAGATTGATTTATTTGAAATGAAATCATGTATTGCACAAGGTTTTCCATTTGCTTTCGGTATAAAATTATTTCAATCCTTTGATAAAGCAAGGGCAAATGGTGCTGTACCAATGCCCAGTTCATCTGACACAAGTCGCAGCAGTCACGGAAAGTAAGAGAATGTCATCAGAGAACCAACAAACAGGGATAATTGTTCACGTTTTTGAAAAAATTTTGAAACTGTTTCCAGAAAGGTGGAAAGAATTGTGAAAAAACCTAGTTTGGAACTTTATTCATTTATTTCTCTGAATGTCCCGTTTTATCATTTAGCCACGGTGTAGTTTCTCTACTCAGAAATTCTAGTTGCAAGGACAGTTAACACGAATATATTTTTAACGCCTTACAAAAAGATTGAGAAATAATGCGTTCACTAACCGACGCCTTAAAATACAAAAGTCGTGCGAGCTCATAAAAAATGAAGTTCAGCTTTCTGATATCTCATGGATGCTTGAGTTTTAGGCATGCACTACTAGCAGTTGGTTATTCTGATACATCTCGAGCGTTTATTGTACGAAATTCCTGGGGAGAGCGATGGGGAGATCAGGGATATTGTTACATGTAAGTATAAATTCTATTTTCCTTTCTATTTTCTTACACTACAACAAGCTCGTTGTTTAGACCTTACGATTATATGACAAATAGTGATTATTGTTTTGATGCATGGGCTATACGAAAACTTGATAGTGATGATTTAGGTTCAGATCATTGGGATAATAACGATGAAGTGAATTATCGATCGGTAAGTAATTCAGAAAAGGGCGTTCATTCTAGTAGTTTAAAAAAATAGAGCGTTGAAAAAACTTTTGAGAAATAAAATGTAGAGACAGATCAACTTTTTGAATGTTCTAGAATGAACAGGAACAAGACGAAGATGATGATGGACAAGCTGATATTGAAGAATATGAAGAGAACGATGATGATGACCGAGGTGGGGAGGGAGGCAGGGATCCCTCTTCACAGAGTGACAATCAAGACGGATAGTCGAATAACGATAAAGCGTTATTCGTGTATTATGTGATTAATTTTAGATAGAAGCGAGTTAGCTAAAATATCTGAGCTGAGCGTGAGAGTATTGAGTTGATAAGCTAATAAAGAGATAACGGAGCAGACAACCAAGATAGGTAATATCAAACAGCAACAAGGTTATGGACAGTTTGACAATTTTGAAATCAGTATAATTGTCGATTTGATCGGGGCTATGATCAAGGACAGAATTTTACCTATAGATATCAACAATGAATATTTGATAATGTATGATAATATTCTACTATTACTTACGAAACTCAGTATGGTACTGGTTCGTATTATAGTGACAATCATTGTTCTTTTAGAAATAAAAATTTTGGTGGATAAAGGTTGTAAGGTAGCGTGATATCTCAAGGTAGAAAAGCAGTAAAACCATCAGTATTTCTTAAAATTGAAGACTTAAGTTGAAAGACTTTCTTTATGGCTGACTGGTATTTTAACAGTGGCTCTAACATCCTGCCTGATGAACGATATAGGAAGTGACTGTCGTTTTCTTCAAATGAACACAGAGAAGAGAATCTTCTTTTTAGACTGTGTTGAACGGAACATCGTTGATCATTTGATGTTTTCTATTCTCTTGTCCATTGACAAAAAAAGAGAAGAAATAATGGCCATGAGAAAGAATTATATTCTCATTTCATTTCATTTATTTGAATAGATCATATTATCGAGGTACATATTCAAAAACTTGAGGGTTTATAAAAGTGAACATATCTCACACAAACTAGTGTATTCTCTTTTTGAAAGCGAATATATTGAACTATCATGATCAGTCGATCGCTTTTAAATGTACACAACAAGTTTCTAAGGGTAAAAAAAAAACTTGGTACGCCCAGAAAAGGTTTCACGTGACTTTTTTACGGCAATTTATGGTTGAAATACGTCTACTTTTTTCAAGGAAGGATCCTGAAGCACGGCAATGTAAATTGCATTTATAGCTTCAAAATGATTCAAGTGATCTAACAAATTCATTTTTTTTGAGAATAATGTAATTAATTTCACTATGAATTCCGCTGTTGTTCTCAAAAACATGGTTTTAACAACTGTCCTTGCAATTGAAATTTCTGAGTAGAGAAACTGCAGCGCGGCTAAATGAAAAAACGGGACGGGAAGCATTCAGAAAAATAAATAGTTCCAAGGTAGGTTTTTCCACAATTCTTACCACCTTTCTGAAAAACTTTCGAAATTTATACAATAGCAACATATATACGGCAAAAACACACCTATGGCAACGTATCTATGGCATGATCCTAGTTTTCTATGGGCTTTACAGAAATCCTTACCAAAGTTTCATTTTAATTCAATTTTTTTTCAATTTTCAATTTTAAAATTAACTTTTTAAGTATGTTAGTGGATAGATCTCGCAAAACTAAATCATGCACATCAGTTTTTAAGCATTCGGTAAAGGCTATTATCGAGAACGACAAGATTCAAGACATGTGGAGATCAAATCAATGGAAGAAGCATTTATTGATGGTAAAAACTGGTGCGATTCTGATATTGAGCATCTGCTTGAATTTACGGAATGTGTATAGTTGGATATACCTCACCGAGATTATTAAGCATATGTGTGTTTAAACGTTTTAAAGACATTTTTTAAGGAAGAAAAATTCAAAAAGCTCAAAAGATATAAAATTTTGGAAAAAAGCTATAAGTTGAATAAAATACATTTTCTTAGCTCCAGTTCGCTTTAAAGCTTCGAAATCATTCAAATTCATCATCAAATATTAAATCCAGAAATGATTTTCTAAAACAATAAAACATTATATTAGGGATGATCAATCGGACGCCGAAAAAGCATTTGTAAGCCTCATTAATTTTTTAAATAAACAAATTAAGCCAAGTTTGCTAGGCAATCGTGATCGCCAAATTGCAGACAACAAAAGTATAACTTACCTTTTTAGAATTAAAAAAAAGTTGAATTAAAATAAAACTTTGGTAAGATGCACGTAAAGCAAACTTCGAGTGAAATTTGTTTTTGACTTTATTATACATATACTGAGTTGTCGTTTGACGGTGATCCCGAATATCACCTTTCCAACCCTTAAAAACCCTTTGTTCAAAGAGAAAATCTCAAAATACTGAAAGGGCCTCAAAAACCCCAAAATCTTTCATTTTCGAAAAAATTTTCATAGTTTTTTCCCTTCATGATTTTGGGACTCGAGCTTCCTATATTTGGATTCCTTGTTCAAACCTGAATCTAGCAAGGGTATTTTTAAGCTTTTACAGCTAAAAATGAAAGTTTCTCAGTCCCAAACGTTTAAAGGTCCATTCTCGAGGGCCTCTGTTTACAAACCCTACTCGTTTTTCGTGTGAAGGACTAGACCTTTGATTCACACATGGTTAGATCGACCATCACGCCGGCTTTAAAAGTATGAAGAGCCTTTTTTTTAAATTTTCCTTCATTGCTGAGGAAGTTCATTTTTTCGAAGCCAAAAGCGAAAAAGTCGGTCTTCTGCCAGTAATTCTCAATTTTCTCGTATCAACACTCAACTTTTGAGCAATAAAAATACCACATTCCGAATCAGGATCAAAAACTGAGTCGATTGATGTGTCTTCACGAATAACCAATAACTTAATTAGTTGAACGACGCGAGCTCTCAACGTCATCGATTAAAGGAAAAGTGTGCTAAACATTTTGAGAAGTTTCAACACTCTGCACGATCTGTCGTTCAGCAGGTGTGACAAAAATACGAACACCTACTTTTTGAAACTTAGTCGATAACGCTGATGTTCGTATTTTTTACGTACATCTTAAAAATTTCTGTAAAACCCATAGAAAACTAGAATTATGCCGTGCACGAAACCCAGGCCTGTTTAGTTTTCGATTCTCTCTCGAATGACGGCTTTAAAACGCTTACAGCACTTATCTGTGCTGAGTTATTTAATGTTTAGAAAAGTAAAACTTTTTGAATAATATTTTAATTAGAAATTTTAACTTTACGTTGAAGACTTGAAATTTTCTTCAAAACGTAGCCTATTCTCTTATGAATACAATGGTCTTCTCACCAATCTTTGAAAGCAACAGCATTTTCCTAGCAAAGCTTTCGTGTATGCAGATATGCCAAAAAGCAGCACCTCAAGAGATTTTGAACAGAACTCGGTGAGCCAAATGAAATAGCATAGTTCAAAACCCTTACAGTATCGTATTGAGCTAAAACTAAGGCTGTAAGGTATATTGTATTTTTAAAATGATAGTAATCAGACTACGGCTTGATCAGCTAAGTCTGCTACCAGAGTGTAACTCCGTCACGATTTCTCCTCATTTTGTTTCGGTTATAGTTGAACGACGAGACGCCCGGGGCTCACAGACGTCATGAATTAAAGAAATGTGTGCTAAACATTTTGAGAAGTTTCAACACACTGCACGCTCAATCGTTCAGCCGCTGTGGCAAAGAATACGCACATCAGCGGTTTGGGCGAAGTTTCAAAAAGTTGGTGGTGGTATTT